TGATCAGGTTCTGGTTAAAAATTATTTTAAGAATACTCTGTATAAGGTCTTTCATCAGGAAGCATATTGTATCTGGTTGTCTCTTTCTGTGACTTAGCAGCCACTGATGATATGTATTGTTTTTTAAAATCAAATATCACCACAGGCTGTACTGCCCAGTGTGATAGTTACTAGCCACATGTAGCTATTGAACACTCAAAATGTGGCTAGTCTCTGAATTGAGAGGTGCTATAAATATAAAAAATACACATTGGATTTCAAATAGTACAAAACAAAAAATGTAAAATATTTAAGTTTATATTTTTAAATGATTTTTTTTACATAGGACTAAATATCACCTATTTTACTTTTTTAAATGTAAGAAAATTAAGTCATAATGGCTTCATTATAATTCTGTTGGACAGCGCTGCTCTAAGATATAAGGAAAATGTTAGACCACTGCTCCATTCTCCCTACTTCTCTTTCCTGCTCTGCTGAGCAACTTTTAGATATTTTTCTGTTACTTCCACATTTCCAAATAACAAGCTTATAATTATAGCATTTATTGAGCACTGAATATGTGACAAGTATATTCTAAGTTCTTTACATTATGAAGTCATTTAATTCACAGAACAATCATTTTGGAGATGAAGCTCAGGAACAGAAAATTTTAAGTAACTTAATCACAAGCCCAGTAAGTGACAAGCTTGGATTAGATTCTAATTCTTAAAACCTGAGCAGCTGGGCTCCAGGGCCCATGCTCTTAAATACTTAAACATACTGCTGCTTCTGCTTTTGATTTTTTTCAATTGTAAATATTTACTAACCTCCTACTACAGAAAATGAACATTTCACTTTCTTATACCCCTATTCTCCCTCTTCCCCCAACCTGTTTCTACACTGGGACTTCTACTCCCATCATCTAATTTAATTGTATAATTTTTGTTAAATTCATATTCAACATTAAGGATGCATAGATAGTGTTGTGTTTTGTTGTATATTATGGTTACATTTCCTTTTGGAATATTTTTGTCTTTTGGAAGTAATTGCCTTGGTTGTAATTTGTTCAATTTACTTTGTATCTTTTATTAATTTATCATCAGAATCATTTATTACTCATATATTCCCCAGATCACTCGCAGGGAGACCTTTGAGTCCTTCATCTTTTTGTTTAGGTATCAAAAATAAAGGGAGTCAACTTTTTCTTTGCTTGTTTATGCCTTTGTTTTAATGGCGTACATCCTCTAGAAATTTCCTGAGCAAAGGTTCATTGGAAGTTCCTTTTTCTTTTAAATAGCACCTTGTCCTTGTTTGAGAGTAATGTGTTATTCTAAAGATATTAATTTAGGGTTTTTGGTATAAAATTTTTCTTTGCTCCTTGCATTAACACTTTCCTGCTAGTTGCTTTTTTCTGTTTGGTTTGGTCTTTCAAGTTACAATCTTGCCTTAATTGTCTCAGGATCCTTCATGTATGAGAGGCACAGAGAGGCTTGAGTAGGACTCTTCAGCAGTGGGCTTCATTGTAGGGTTAAAGGAGCAAGAAAACTTTTTCATTTGCCATCCTTTCCACCCTCTATCATATTCTGAAGTCTTTTCTTTGAAATGGGTCAGTTTTTCTAGGGCAGAAGCTTCTAGCTATCTGAGGTGGTATGAACGAAGTTGTCAGTTCTTGGAGACCGTAAGGTCGGGAGGAAAGGTATTATTCCCACATGGATTCCACTTCAGCCAGATTCTACCATTATAATACTTTATTAAAATCTTCTTTTCCCTTTTCCATTCTTACCTTGCTCCTGAAGAAACTCGTGGCACTGAAATGGGTTGTGACAAAACTACATTTTTCCACTAATAAATTGCTGTCCTTTTTAGACACAGAAAAATAATTTTTACTGGATACAAGGAGCATTCAGTTTTCCACTTGTCCTTAATAATACAAATTTCTCAGATTAGCTGCTGATCCTACCCCTATCCAGTCTATACTACATAGCAAAAGGGTGCATTATCACAGAATCCAAGAGACCTCACAGATCATAAGGCAGGTAAATGAAGAAAACCTGAGATACTTTGATTAATTCAGAACTCAGGCTGTCCACTGTTGCCACTTTTTCAAAGACGTTTCATTATGAAAATAATGTACAGTACATATAGTATTTAAAATTAATCTGGCTATTCTACATTTCTGAAACTTTTGATCTACCCTTATATTAGAGTAAAAGTGATATTCTGATTAAAACAGACACTGGTTAAATGAGATATTAAATCATGTGCTATATATTTGTTTTGAGGCATCTTAATGGTTCTACTCTTAAGAGTTTTATTTTAAAAGTCAGTGAATTTGTTAAATTTTTATCTCAGAATAACAACTAAAATCTTTGTAAGTTTGATCTAATATAGAAAATTATTCTAATTTGTTAACCCCTTGCTTTTTCAAAAATACACAAGTATATTATATTTGAGTATAGGATATATGTATGATACCAAATTGGATACATTATCATAAGTTTTTTCTTTAAAAAAAGTACCAGGAATCTAAAGGTATTATGGTAGAGTCTGGTGTACGTGCCTCCAAGTAGGGATACTAAGTTCCTATCCTATAAACATGAGAGGAATAATAAGTATTTGTTTACCCACCAAACATGCTACATAAAATAGTAACAATATTGTTAAAGCCTCCTATGTTCTTCTCTCCCCAAAGGAAGCCATTATGAAATTAATATTTATTATTCTCATAATTTAGACAATACATATATATATACAGATGTACATACGTACATAATGGTATTATTTTGCATGTTTTCACACTATTGTACAGTGTGTTTCTGGAATTTGCTTTTTCTATCAACATTGTGAGAGCTGTACATGTTAATATGTGTACTTGTTTTTTCACTTTTATTAATCTCATCAGCTTCTGCTGTTAAACCCATCTACCCCCTACTGGGTTTTTTATTTCAGTTATTGTATTTTTAAATTCTGGATTTTTCTATCTGATACTTTTCATAGCTTCTATTCCTCTAATAATTTTTTTCCATTTTGTCATTAAGTTATTGAATATATAAACCATAGTTATTTTAAAGTATGTCTGGAAATATGTAGCTCTTTTGTGGATCTGTGTCTATTTTCTCTCATTTTTCAATCATGAGGTCCTATTTACTGCTATTTCTAGTAAGTTTTGACAGAATTCTGAAATTGTATATGAAAACCTGTAGGAATCATTTGTGGCTCTGGCTTAGGGATCTGCAAACTGTGCCCCATGGACCAAATTCTGCCTGCCACTTGTTTTTGGCTGGCCTTTGAGCTAAGATTGTTTGCTTATTTTTAAATGGTTTAAAAATAATTGAAAAAAGTATTTTGGAACACATGAAACCTGTATAAAATTCAAACCTAAGTGACCATAAATAGTTGTATTGGAATACAGCTACACTTGTGTTTCTGTATTGCCTATGGCTGCTTTTGTGCTCCAGTAGCATTTGAGTTGCAACAGACCTATGGCAACTTAAAATATTTACTATTGCCAACCCCTGCTGTAGCTAGATAATGGTATCTTTCTCCAAGAGAGGATTTACTTCTGGTAGGCCTTTAGGGTATCAGGAAGATCACTTTAATGCATTCAGGGATTTAGTTGATTCAAAGCTGGCCTTACATTTTTATGAAGGTTGGTCAGTTTCTGGTTCACCTCTGCTCCTAGAGTATAGCTTTTCAGGTGTTCCAACTAAAAGCCTGGTGTATTTACCCCAGATTCCTATTCTTTGATTGTTGCAGTACTTCAGTGGTGACTTGTTCCATACAGCTTTCCTCTTTTGTGGGATCATAGCTCTTCAAATCTCTGCCACCTTAGTATATTTGCTCTAGTAATATTTGTTTATATAAGTATATAAACAAAATATATTTAAAGGCATCAAAGAATTACTAACGCAGAGAAGATTTGAAGAGCTATGATCAAAGAAGAAGGGAAGCTGTAGAAGATGAATTAACATGGAGTGTGTGTGTATGTGTGTGTGAGAGAGAGAGACAGAGAAAGAGAAGTGTGTACTTGCCAACTTTTCTAGTTCTTGTAGGGAGTTTGCTTTTATGGGAACTAGACTGACAGCAATAGAAGTTCAAGGCGATCACTTCACATCCCTACTCCAGATCTCCAGTGGCTTAATAAGGACAAACCAAGTCCTTACAATTATTTGCTAGGCCTTGCTAGGCCTGAATGACTACATAAATGAGACTGAAAGCACATGGGTCTGAAGAGGCACAGATGGAAGAAAGCACAAATTTGTTTTACCACTAGAACACTAGGGTACTAGCAAGTATAAGACTTAACATTCCAAAGGAATATACTCATGCTAGTGGGGGTCATTTACATTTAAACTTTTTCCTATTTTCATTATTTTTAATTAAGATATTACAGGAAATGTATATTTTTAAGTGTTTACTTCAATGAGTTTTGATAAATGTTTATACCTATGTACCAAAACCTCAGGATATAGGGCATTTCTATCACCCTAGAAATTTCCCTCCTTGCCTTTTCCATTTAATTTTCCCTCCACTGAAGCAATCACTGTTCTGATTTCAATCTCCATAGATCATACTAATTTTTAAGTTCAAAATTATATCACTACCATGCTGGTCGCAACACTGCCATAAGTCTTTGGATGCTGTTCATCTATTTTCGTTGTTCATATTTCACCTACTTAGATCGCAGGAACTATACTAAACTATTTTTATTTATTTATTTTTTTTTAGGCAAGGCAACCCTTGGTTGACTTTGCAGATTGCAAGGACCTTGTCAGTTTACAATCCCCACCCCACCCCCTTTTTTTTTTGCGCCTACAGCACCTGGTCTTCCTAGGTGGTCTCCCATCCAAGTACTAACCAGGCCTGACCCTGCTTTGCTTCTGAGATCAGACGGGATCAGGCTTGTTCAGTGTGGCATGGCCATAGACTATACTAAACTATTTTAAATTTAATTCCTAGAATCCCAAACTTTATGTTTCATGGCAAGTCGCATTATCTTAGTCCTCAATAGCCTTTGGAAGTCGGGAGGAGGAAATGATAGTCTTAATTTACAGTTGAGAAAAAGATTCAACAAATAATTGACATACAGAATCCCCTTTCCATTAGCCTGTGGTGCCAGGCTAGATTTTCATTCTTTTGCTCATTCCCTATGCTAGGCTGTATGTACGCAAGGAAAGAGCCAGCTTGTATTTCAAAATTCAGTTTCCTTGTTTCTTCTCAGAATATTCGTAGGTTGCCCATTCTTTCCATCCTCCAGCATAGTGTTGAGCACTGAAAACATACACCAAATAGTTAGTGCTATAGACGTTTTCTCCTGCTTTATAACACAAGATTTGATAGGAACTTTAGAAATAAGAACTTTAGAGATTTAGAGATGCAATGGCTACTCACCATACTATTTACACTTTAAGCCTATTTAAAAGATTGTGTTACTTTTTAGTAGGATGAAAAGATAGAGGCTCTTAGTCTAGCTATCCTGTCATTGCTAATACAGTAATTATAAGAAATTCTTTAGTAGGCCAATAAAAATGTAACATGTGAAACTTTGCAATATATATCCCTGAACCCATTTTTATCCTTCATCTATGTACCTGTTAAAGCCCAAAGATATTGCTGTGTCCAGAGCCTTCTTGCTTCTTTCTCCAGCTAAACAAGAAAACACTAGACTGTCAGATTTGGATGGCTTTACTTCATTGTACTTCTCGTTGAAGTCTTTTGGGTTCATCTGCAAAGCTTCACCTACTTCATTCACTGAAAGGAAATGTTAAGAATTTCAATTAAATTTTAGATACAGCAAATTACTGAATATACATTTTTGTATTAAGTCAGTTTAAGATACATGTCACTTACATGGTATATTGACAGACCCAGGGATTTTTCCATACTCAAGAATTTCCCATGTCTCTCTAACATCAATTAACATAATACTTTTGGATTTCAAGAGGTTTTTAAGTTCCAGATACGTGACATCTTTAAAAACTGTAGTACAAAAATTGTGGCAGTTTCCTTCTATTGACTTCAAACCTGGAAAGAATAAAATAATTTAGTCACCTTAAAAATGATATCACTATTAATATCTGGAAAGAGAAGGTCAAGAGAATTTCCCCCCTGGTTCCAGTCAGCTAACGATTCTTGGACCTTTTGATTTTACCAAATTGTATTTGATGTATGTATTTTGCACACAGCCTGACTGAGCAGCAAGATGCAGCCCTATCCTGCTCTGCGCGCTTAATGGCTGGTCTTGTGCCAGCTCCATATTCTACTCTCTCCAAACCCCTTAATTGGGGGGAGCTTGTTAACACACATAAAGCATTTGGCAACTAAACTGTGCAAATAATTTGTAAATTTTACCCTGATCCAAGTTAAAATATTAAGAAAATTTTAATTTTATTTTCTCTTACAAGTGAAGATAATTGGCCATGTGTTAGATGTGAGGACCTTCCATCTGAAACCACTTTTAAGTACTCAATAGCACTGTTTATTAAATAATTGATAACAATATAGTAATGGGTAATAACCCATAGAACAAAATAAATAAGTATATAATTGAATGGATAAGTGAGAAGAAGGGATTATTTCAAATGATAAGTGTGAAGGAATGATGAAAACGAAAAATCATTGGGTAAACACCCCAAGAATAATTGCTGCAGTAAGAACCATTGACAGATATTAATGTTAGTGGGTGAAAGTATGATGACAAATGGAATAGTATCTCCACAGGACATACGAACTACAAAGGGAGACACCTGAAAGATACCACTAACCAATTATTCAAAGATCACTAGTAATAAGACATGTTGACAATATGTACCTCCCGATACGATGCACTGAAAAGAACACATCATCACTTCCTTAGTATTCTTGCCAAAAATGCATACTCTGAACCTGATCAGAAAAAAATCTCAGACAAACCAATCTACAAATTAACTGGCGCTCTTAAAAGTGTCAAGGTCATAAAAGACAAAGACTGTGGAACTATCACAGATGGAAGCAGACTAAGGAACCATGACAATACAAGGTAGGATCTTGGTCGGATCTGAGATTATAAAAGGCATCAGTGAGCAAACTGGTGAAATTTAAATAAGGTGTGTGGATTAGTTAGTGGGATTATATCAATATTAATTTCCTGGGTTCAGTAATTGTATCATGTAAAATGTTTACATTAGGGGAAGTTAGATAGAAATAAAGCGAATACCATTTCACTTTTTGACTTTTCTGAAGGTCCAAAATTATATTTTAAAAATTAAATGAAAAAAAATTAAAAAATTAAAAATGAAAGAAAACCCGAAAGATTTAAAAAAATAAAAAATTAGCGAAAAATTTGTTAATAATATTCATATTTCACAACAAAACAACCACTATAAGGTAATGAGTGCTTAAAATGCTGTTTAAAATATTAAACATAAAGTAAAATTGTTTTAAACAGTGTAAAAGTGGCATAGAAAAAGGTTCAAAGGTCTAAATCCAGAAACAGACCCACAATATACTATCTATGAGAATTCAGTATCTGGTAACGACAGTGATAATTCAAATTATACAGTCATGTGTCACTTAATGACAGGGAAACATTCTGAAAAATGCATCATTAGGCAATTTCATCATTATTCGAACATCACTGGGTACACTTACACAAACCTAGATGGCATAGCCTACTACACACCTAGGCTGTATGGTATAGCCTATTTTTCCTAGGCTATAAACCTGTACAGCATGTTACCGTACTGAATGCTGTAGGCAACTAAAACACAATGATAAATAATTTGTATCTAAACAGAAAATGTATAGTAAAAATATAGTATAAAAGAAAAAATGGGACATATGTATAGGGCACTTACCATGAATAGAGATTACAGGACTGGAAGTTGCTCAGGGTGAGTCAGTGAGTGAGTGGTGAGTGAATGTGAAGGCCTAAGGAGTTATATACATTACTTAAACTCTATAAACACTGTGTACTTAGGCAATATAAATTTATAAAAAGAATTTTCTCTAATAATAAATTAACCTTAGCTTACTGTAACATTTTTACTTTATAAACTTCATAATTTTCTTAAAGTTTCCCAACACTTAGCTTAAACCACACATTGTATAGCTGTATGAAAATTCTTTCTTTATATCCTTTTTCTATTTTAAAATTAATTAAATTTTTTTTTGCTTTTTACACTTCTTTGTTAAAAACTAAGACACAAACACACACATTAGCCTAGGCCTACACAGGGTCAGGATCATTAATATCACTGCCTTCCACCTCCATATCGTGTCCCACTGGAAGGTCTTCAGGGGCAATACACGCATGGAGCCATCATCTCCTATGATAATGCTTTCTTATGGAACACCTCCTGAAGGACCTGCCTGAGGCTCTTAAGGAGGTATCACTCTTCAGAAATTTGTCCATGGTGGTCTGCTTGGTTTGTTTCTTTTTTTTCATCATAGAATTGCTTGTAAGCACATAATACACCATGAACATGCCTCTCTATTAATGAAAACCTTTCAGTGTTGGGGTCCATGTTTTCAAACTTTTTTAAGGAGACTGTCAAGGTCTGCAAAATCTGCTAAAACTTTCACCGTGGGTTTTCTTGGGGGTTCTTCTTTTTATTCTCCTGCAGTTTCCTTTTCTCTGGCCTCTTCTGCAGCTATGCATTCCTGTCCCAGTTCCTACAACTCTTCCTTAGTCAATTCCTCAGGAACCACCTCTAGGAGCTCCTCAGTGTCATCCTTATTTATCCTGGGTTAAAGCTGTTTGCCATCTCAACCACAGAATTGTTGGTTTTTACAACCTTCTTATCTTTGGCAAATCCTTTTAGATCATGGGCTACGATGTCACTAGGCATAGGAATTTTTTAGCTACATTCTAATCTTATGAGACCACCGTATATGCATATATGCAGTCTGTCATTAACCAAAATGTTGTTATGCAGTGCATGCCTATATTCTATTTGACCAATATGTAGGGTAGCTAGCTAGCCATCAGGAAGAAACTTTACGCAGGCTATTACCTCATTCTTTACAGGTAAATAAATTCAAATTTAAATCTAAAAGCTAATATCTTAAAAGTAGTAATAGAAAACATAAGCGGATCATGTAAATATGGAGATAAGAAGGCCATTATAAACATGACACAAAAATCAGAAGTCATAAAGATTTGACCTCAGAAAAATGCTGAATTTATATATGGGGAAAGTACAGTGAATAATTAGAAGACAAATGGCAGGCAGAAAGAAAATATCTGTAACATAGAAAAGACAAAGATTAATACTGATAAAATAGAGCTCATAAAAATAAATAAGAAAAAGGACAAAATTCCAATAGAAAAACAGTCAAAACAAGAACAGGGAATGGACATGAGAAATACAAATGGCCAATAAAATGTAAAAAAGAAAAAGATGTCCAATCTCACTACTTATTAAGGAAATGTAGGATTTAAGAAAATTTTTAAAAATTTCGTCAGATTTTTAAAATTAAAAGAATTGATAAAAGCAAATATTGGTGAGAGATGAGGAAACAGGCACACTACTGAGAGTAATGTTAAAGCCTTTGAAAAGGAAAATTGAGCAGTAATAACATTTTAAGTATGTATACCTTTTTCACCTCACAATTTTACTTTTAGGAATGTATCCTAAATACATTTAGGAATATTAGCATGAATATATACAAATGTATATAAGAATGTTAGAATATATTCATAGGCAGCATTCTTTGTAATATCAAAAAGTAGAAATAAGCTAGAAGGCTATCAATAAGGGAATGGTTATATTATAAGCAGTACATTTATACAATGGAATATTGTTTAATGTAAGCTGTCCAAAACATAGTATTAAATTTAAAAAAAATTAGTTGGAGAATATTTTGTATAAATCAGAGGTTCCTAAACTTTCTCAGCTCATCCTTTAATGTCTCAGTAAATTTTTTGCAGTGCCCATAGGCCAAAAGAAATGCTTCGTGGTTCCATTTAAATAGTTAAGAAAAGCCAGAAATAAGTTTTGAAAACCATATCTTCTTGTAAAAACCAGGCATTCTTCTATTTTTCATTTGTCTCACTCACCGATAGCAAAAGTGAACAAATACAATAGCTTAAAAATACAGGTTTCCCAACAATTCCAATCCAAGGTATGTACCCAAAGGAATTGAAAATAGAGACTTAAAGAGATACTTCACACCAATGCTCCTAGCAGCATTATTCACAACAGCCAAAAGGTAGAAACAACACAAGTGTTCATCAATAGAACAAAAGGTAAACAAAATGATATATATACATACAATGGAATGTTATTTGGCCATAAAAAGGCATGAAGCTCTGACACATACGACATGAAACTACAATATTGAAACATTATGCTAAGTAAAATAAGCTAGCCACAAAAGGGCAAATATTTTATGATTCTTCATATCACAAATGTAGAACAGGTAAATGCATAGAAATGGAAAGTAGGTTAGAGGTTCCAAGGGGTTAGAGGAAGGAGGGATGGGGAGTTATTGCTTAATGGGTACAAAGTTTCTACTTGGGGTGATGAAAATTTTTGGAAATAGTGGTGATGGTTGCACAACATTGTGAATATAATTAATACCACTGAATTGTACACTCAAAAATGGTTAAAATGGCAAATTTAATGTCATATATATTTTACCACAATACATTTTAAAAATCAAACTATAGGTTTCCCTATGTCTTCAGATTGTAAAAAGTTTGTTCATTTTTGTTAAGATTAGATCTTAAAATACTTGGAATCAAACTATTTCTCATTCAACCAGTTGTTTGCAGAATCCCAGAATATAAAGGGCCAGCAGGCTGAATTCATACCTGTTAACTATTCCTCATTGTTAGAAACTGGAAAAGTATGGTAATTTAAATAATTATGTTAAATTCAAGATTGTGGCACTTGACCATTGGGAAACATAATCACAGCATGTAACCTGTGTAACTAAATCAAAGATAGTTATATTTTTCTTGTTAAACTGACATTTAATATTCTTTAATTCAGCTATACTCCTGTTGGGTTGGGGTGGGGGTTAGGGGAGAACAGGGTATATAATCAGCAAAGACTTCATTTCCTGCCTTTCTACTCTGAGCCAAGAAGCCTGAAGCAAGCATGTTCCTTTAAAGAATCTCAGTTCCTCCAGGCCTCTCTTCATATGAGCCTCTAGCTACTCTATTTCTTTATTTAAAGCTATAGTGTGTTTTTTTGCACCACATGGCCTCTACTTGTAAATCAACCACTTTATCTGGTGCTCAACCAAAGAAACAGTGATCTGCTCCTACAATGAAGAAAAACAGGCTGTTTGGGATTTACTCAGAGATTATGTGTGGTTCTCTTGAGAGAGTGCAAGAGTAATACATACTGTACCTGATTTTCGCCTTTCTGAGCCCAACTTTTGAATAAACTGTAATTTTGTTGTTTCCACACTGGTAACTCTAACCTTACCTGGGTACTTCCTTCAGGCTACATTACATTACAGTCCAAACTCCTTAGTACAGGTATAGTCCAAGTCCTTCAACCTACTTTACCAGCATAATTTATCAAACCTTATCCTCCTCTTCATTCCTCCTCTGCCCCAATTACCAGCTACATCAAAAATATTCAAGTCTTGATTTCTGTGACTGTGGCCTAGAGCTAGATTGCCTGGCTCTAATGGCCTACGGGGCTTAAATTTTTATTCCCACAGAACTGCATTTTTATAAATTTTTATTCCCACAGAACTGCATTCAACTGCATACTTTTAAAAGCTGATGCCTGAAGGTCTGACTTCCAGCCAGCCTGAGATCCTCCCTTTTGAGTCTTGGCATGTCCTCAACTACTGGGAGCTATTAAAAATGTAATAGGTTGCTTAGACAAGCACAAAATAAGAGATAACCAAGAACTAAGGCAGGGCTGAACAACAAGGTTCATATCTTACATGAGGCACTCCTTCAAGACTGGGACAGGTGGTTGTTTTTTCTCTACTGTATCCAGCAATCCCACTTCTGGGTATTTACCCAAAGAAAACAAAAACACTAATTCAAAAAGATATCTGTACCTCCAGGTTCACTACAGTATTATTTACAATAGCCAAGATATGGAACAACCTAAATGTCCATTGATGATGAATGGATAAGGAAAATGTGATACATATATACAATGGAATATTTTTCAGCCATAAAAAACAAAATCTTGCCATTTGTGACAACATGAATGGACCTCGAGGACATTATACTGAGTGAAATAACTCAGAGAAATACAAATGCTGTATTATGTCTCATATCCAAAAAATGTATATTAAAAAAACAAGCTCATAGAGAACAGATAAGTTTGCAAGAGGTAGGGGAGAAATGGGTGAACTGTGTGGTTTTTGGTTTTGTTTTTTTAGTTTAAATAAATTGAATAAAATAAAAAAGGAATTGTCACCATTAAAAAAGAGCAGAAAATAAAATCCCACCTCTGAGTCATTAGCCCTGTCCTAAACACTCAGCACCCTGTTGTCTACTACCAACAGTCACAGGTCAATGGAAGCACAGGATGGGGTGAGTGTATTGATCTGATGACCTGATCCTCATGAGACCCCCATCCCCACTACTGCTTTCCTAGCTCATTTCTCTTGTTCTTCCGACCTTGGTTATCTCTGAATTTAGGTGGTTGTGAGGAGTAGGATGGTACCTGAACTTCCTATATGCATTTTAGCTAATTCTGGTACTGTAGGTATTAATCCTGTACTCGCTATGGGGTGAACTCAGTACCTCAAGGAATGACATTGAAAGTTCATCCAAGAAACCCCAGCTTTAAAACAGAAAAACTCAGTACTTTCTCTTCATTCACTTATATAAAGAATAGATAAACATAGAAGCCTTCTGTAAAGAGGTGCTTGAGCAGAGGAGCATTTAGTGTGCATGCGATTTTATGCCACTTGCCTAGCTATTTGAACTGACAGTTCTCCATGTTTTAAGTTTTGTTTTGCTTGAGCCTCGCTCGGTTCATGATCTATAAAATAAATGAGTTATACTATTTCTAAGATGCCTTCCAGGTAAAATCTCCATAAATGTATGACTTTGAAACATTTTTCTTTACCAAAAAAAGCAATGAATAGTAAAACACTATTAAATCAAAGCTTGTTATTACCCAGATCTTAATATTTACCAGATATAATTCTCTTGAAATATAGCGAACATACTAAACAAATATGGGCCGTAGCACAGAAAAAAAAGTATACATGTGCTCTAATTACATTGTTTTAGTGGTAAGAGCAGGGATTTTAGAGTCAGATAAACCAGGTTCAAATCCTGGCTTGCCCACTTAGCTCTGTAACCCTATACAGATTACTTAAACTCTATGGGACTTAGTTACTTATTTGCAAAATGGGATTAATAATATTTAATCTTTGAGAGGTGCTGTGAGGTTTAAATAAGCTACATAGTACAATCAGTAAATATTTATTTTCATTTTTTCTTCATGATATATGCGCACTATTCCTTCTGAAGAGAATACCTTTCTACCTCATCTCTATGTGGCACACTCTAACTCTCCTTTAAGATCAAGTGGTGGTGTCGCTGTGGTTCAACAACTCCACTTCTAAGTATCTATTCTAGTAAAATATTTGTACATATCACAAAGAGGCAGGTACACTGATAATTACTGAATAACTTTTTATAATAGCAAAAAATGGAAACCAAGACATTCATCAGTAGGAGACTGGATAAATAAACTGTGGTAATCCATACTATGGAATATATGCAGTGGTTAAAAGAGTTACATGCGTTGCCATGGAAAGCTTCTGAATACTTAAGTGAAAAAATTTAAGAAAAGTATGCAGAGTGGATCATATTATAAATAATATATAAAATGTGATCTATAATATAGATTTATATTAATAGAACATATATATGTATTTTATGTGTACATTTATTTATGCATACTCATAGAAAAGTATTTAGAGGGATTTGTACCAAACCATATCTGGAAGAGTGGGATGGGAAGGCCATATAAAGGGAACTTATGCTGTGCTTTGTTTTAATATAATGAAAATATAATCATGTATTACTAGTAGGATTTTAAAAATGAAAAGCCACCTTTTCTTTAACACTTTCTCCAATTCGGGTAGAGTCAGTTGTTCTTCCATTGCAGTCTCACTAGACTGGGCTTTGTGTGTTGTTTGTTTACTTATGTCTGTCCTCCTCGCCACTCCCCCCTAAAATGGTTAATTGCAGAGGCTGTATCCCCAGCAGGAGGCCTGGAAGATTTAGGTGCTCAATAAATGATTGTTGAACAAAGGTAAAACCAAACAACAAAGCATTTGCATAGGAAAAAAGTACATCTTAAATTACAGTGGCTGTACCAACAGTTAAAATGGAATACCTGTGAGGAGAGAGTGAGGCAGCGAGTTCTAGACCTAAGGCGTCCCCCAACTAGCTTTGCTGTCTTCCGTTCCGCCATTTGTAAAATTAGGGGTGGTGCTTTTATAGCAATAACATGCCGTAATTCTAAGTGATTGTTTCATCAAGCTATGAGCGCTGCTCTTCACTGAGTCACAATGGGCCCGTCATTATGTCTCTCCGGGGCGGGAACTCGCCATCTGCTCACTTTCTGGAGTCGCGAATTGACCTTCATTGCTCAGTCAAGTACCAATACCTTTATAAATGCCTTCCTACACGAGCTCCCTGGAGCCATGTTTATCCCTCTGCTGCATCCCCCATGGCATCCCCAGACCCCCGGTAGCCCGCGATCTGCAGGAACAGGAACTGTTAAGTAGCGCTATATCCCCACGTACCGAGAGTAATGGGTCTGACTTTTAATGGAAGTCTAGGGAAGCGGAGCGCCCTCACCCATGACATCCCTTCCCTGGGGGCCGAGGTTAGGCGCTCTCCCTCTACCCAGGGACCACCGAGCTCACCCCACAGCGCAGCCTCCGCGGACCCAAAGATCCCGCGGCGCGCGCTCCGGAGCAGCAACCACCGCAGCGACATGGCCCTCTCGCGGCCGCGGAGCTGCTGACCTCCTCCACCACCTGTTCCTACTGCTCTGCTCCTCCTCCCGCGGCGTCCAGGCGAGCCGCGCCGGCTCTTTTGCGCCCTCTAGTCAGGCGCCGGCCGAACCCGGTACTGCCACAATCGCTGACCCAAACATGCCCTGCTTTAAAATTTAAAATAGTTTGGAAAGAAACTAAGGGTTAGACTTGCCTTTTTGGTTTTGATAATTATTTTTTAAGGACAAATTTTAACGGTAGAAAGGAGAAAATATACCAAAGGTAATATTTAAAGATTTAAAGTAAATAAATTTCTCCAATTTATAACAGGATTCTCATATGTTGGATTAAAGGAAACTACATGGGGTCTTTCCTCAGAATTGCTCTTAATGCCAATAGCTGGTTCAACTGATGTCGGTAGTAAAATACTCTTATGCTGTCATCTTTTCACCACAACTTGATGATATTTAATCATTTTTGGTGAGAGCTCTGTTAGGTTAGGTACAACTGTTTTAAAAAGGGTTCATTTCCAATTGCTACTGTAACACATTACCACAAATGTACTGGCTTAACACAATACAAATTTATTATCTACAGTTCTGTAGGTCAGAAGTCTCACTTGGCTAAAATTAAGGCGTCAACAAGCCTATGTTCCTTTTGAAGCCTCTAGGGGAGAATTTCTTTACTTACCTTTTCCATCTATTAGAGGCTGCCTGCATTCCTTGGCTAGTGGTCCCCTTCCCCATCTTCAAAGCCAGCAGTTTAGCATCTTCACGTTTCTCTCTAACTTTTATCCCTGCTTCTGTTGTCATATATATCCCTTTCTTTTCCTCACATCCTCCTGCCTCCCTTTTACAAGGACCTTTGTAATTACACTGGGACCACTCAGATAATCCAGGGTAACTTCCCTTCTCAAAATCCTAAATTTAGTCATATCTGTAAAGTCCTTTTGCTATGTAAGGTAACATATTCACAGGTTTCAGGAATTAGAATATCTTTGAGGGGTGCATTATTCAGCCTACTACATAGCTTCTTATGAACTTATTTTTAATTTATTCTCAACTTGATTTCCAAGCTTAATGAAAGCTATATTTAACTGTAAACTCGTTCAGTGGAAAATTTGAAAATTAATTTCTAAATGGCATTATTAAAGTATATGTCCAAAGAATAATTTCATTAAGCATGTACTTTTAAGTTATTCAGTTTTCAATTATTTAATAATTAGTAAAACCATTTCAGATTTTTATACCAATGACATCACTTATAATTATGTTTTTCCAAATCTTTTGGAGCTTAACCATAGTCTCTGTGTAATCTATTTTGTGGATTAACTTTGAACCAAGATGTCATCATATATTGTAGATTCATGTACTCTCCATGGCATCCCCAAGCTGTCCTGAAATATATCATAAAACTCAGGTAATATAGACACAGATATGGAAACAATATACTTGACCTTAATCACATTTAATTTGAAATATGCTTTTGTAAGAGCATGTATTACTAAACAATTTTTTCCAATGTTCATAACTAATTATTTGAGAAATATTTTTCAGTGTGTGTTTTTTTTTTTTTGGAAACAATAAATATGCCCTCCTGTACCTAGCTCAGTGCCAAATTTTGTTTAAGAGTCCTTAGAGCAAAAAAAGTCTTGTCAAAAGAGAGTCTTGATCATTGCTCCTCAGACAAGTGTCTGAATTCTTCCTTCAGAGAGAGTAAGCAAGGCTTAAAGTGAGATGAAAGGGAGTGAAATAGTTTTAATCTTCTGGGAAAGGTCTACAAATGCCAAGTTGATTTCAATCATTAATTCTCAAACAACTCATTTTATTATTGCCATATGAAAAGTGAAAGACAATTGAAAAGGAGAGGATTTTTAAGAGATTTGGGATCTTTCTCATTTCTTTCTAAGTCCACTTAAAGTCCCCAGATATTAGGACAAATCAAATAAAAAATTAGAAAATATATTGCCTTTCGTGCAACTTTTTCAGCATTTCCACTGTCAATAGCCTACTAAAAATATTTACGTAAGTGGGTAAAGATCAATATACACTAATAGGGGACTTATTGGGGAAAAAAATAATACATCCATTCACTGGAATCCTAAGTAATTAATCGAAAGAATGAGGCTAATGTGGAGATATGTCCAAGATATACTGTCAGGTGAAAAAAATCAAGTTGTAGAATAGAATATAGACTGTAATATAGTCTGTTTTCTTTTAACAAATGGTAATCATAAAAATAGAGTACAAAAGCATAGACAATTCCTGAAACTCTACATAAGAAACAGCAAACAGAGGGGAGAAAATGTTACCTCTGAATAAGGGAAATGGGAGTATGGGAAGGAGAAAAAGATGAGCCTCATAATAAACTATCATGTATTACTTTTATAATAAAGAGCATAGCTTCAAAAACACATAATAAAAATTTAAAAGATATATGTACAACTTATAGTTTAGTATTCTATATATTTCCAGGAATAACAATGATGGTAAAATTAAGGTATTTAACCTTATTTGAAATATATACGCAGCTGATCTTAAGCAAATTTGTATTTTTATTTGATGTCTAGTCATAATGTCTTTGCAATAACACTAAAATATACTTACCGGGTACTACTTAAAAATAATTTCCTTCCTTTGTGGAATCCATCGAATAGTAAATTTTACTTTCAATTAAGTGAAAAGTTAAATAATTTGAAGACCATCAGAAATAAAAACTTAGTGTTAGACAATTTTCCCTAACTCATTCCAAGTGTTGAAATGGAGATTGCAACCTCTGGAGATTTTGGTCATGCTAAGAATACATCTGCTGGAAATCAAGATAGCTTTGGAATTTTGTCATTTCCAGGAACAATTTAAGTATAGGTATTGTATGGTGATTTGCATAATCCCTCAATTTCTTTTTATGAAGAAGAGAAGCTAAAATTTCACATTCTAATTCAAACCTCTCATTTTTTTTACTCTAAATTGGATTTCAATATGTTACTTTTTTAAAAATTCCTTTTACAGCAATGTAATTTAGTATGCAAATTTAGGTTAGCTTGCTTGCAAGTTTTTTTTCCCTCCACGTCTGTTTGAAATCTGATGTTAAGATAATTTATGAAGGAGACAACTTTGCCTTCAAAATTACACCGCAACATGACCTATTTTTATTTGGGGAATATTTTCTCTTTCCTTAGGGAAAAAAGTCCCCCTACTGCAAAACATGATTATGTACTCCTATACCTGGCAGAGTGACTGGAATATTTATACTGTTATATTTGTCGAGTGAATGGTTTCCATACATATAATGTAAACAATCTAGTAACCTCTTCTGTCAACTTCTCTACATTGAAACAATTTTAAGTATTTTGTAAGAAGTGAATTAGAGTTTTTAAGGAAAAATCCAGTTTTTTGGGTTTATCTCTTTTTATTTTTTGACTCGTAATCCAAGGCTGTATCCATAACGTCACATCTGACTCCTGTTGAAGAGTTTTGAAAGACTTGTAGAGCTCATCCATAACTAGTGTTTATGTTTGCAATGCCATTCAAACAAAATGTTTTCAAACTAACTACTTTTACTAAACATATGCAACTTGCAAACCACTTTAACCAATAATCAAGCTTTGAAGATGTATAGGTGTAGGTCAAGAAATTTCCTGTCTAGTGAGAACAACAGGTAAGACAATAATACCGAAGAAAAGTAAGGTAATAAACGATGGATGTCAGAAGTGACTTTATTGAACAGAAGAGTGCAACAGACGATGTCCCAGCAGGTGTCCAGAAACGACTAGGACTTAATTCAGACTCCGGGAAGACGCGAGCTGTGTGCACTCCAGGCCACTATTTGGATCCAATTTGGAGTTTATTGCTATTCTTCAAAGATTAGTCCTGGCCTACGGGCTCCCACCGTGAAGAGAACGTAAGCGCGACCGCAGCCGGGCCCCACCTCCTCACGCCCCTCTCGGGTGAGCAGCCCAGCGAGGGGCAGACCCCGCCTACCCAGACGTGGGGGCGGTCACACGAGGCCCCGCCCCTACCAGCTGGCGGGACAGCGGCGCAAGCGCAGTCTCTTCTGGTTGTAGACGCGGAGGCTCGGCCCGGCGGGGTGAGTCTGGTTCGCGGCCATGGGGTCGTCGCGGTTTCTGTCTTCGTTTTCGCGGCTTCAGCCCCTTGTGGCGTGACAGGTCTGGGAGAGAGGCCACCCTCGCACTCCCGTTCATCTTCTGGACCCTTAGGGGAGCCAGGCTGTCACTTAGGGCCGTGTGAGCGCTGCCGGGCCGGCCGGGTATTCATGCGGCTGCGGGAGGAGTCGGGGGAGACTGGGCGGGAGAGGGCCGCCAGGGCGGGGCCCCAGTCCACGCCTCACCTTGACCCAGGCGCTTGGCGTCCTGACACCCTTCCGGGCTCCTTCCAGCGCTGTCTCCTCACTACGCATTTCCTCTTCAGAAACTTGGTATATTTTTTAAGTGACGGGAGGAAGCGTGTCTAACCACGGGATTCTGGCAGCATCGTGCAGTATTAGAAGCCCTGTAGGCGGACTCCTGGATCCAAATCCCCACTCACCACTTAACCCGCCCCAAGACCTCTGCACGCCACTTAACCTATATGTATCTCAGTTTCAAATATAAAATGGAGGAAATAATAGTAACCTATATCAAAAGGTGGTCGTGAGGATTAAGAGGGGTATCTTTCAGGTGCTAAGAACGTAGCGTAATGCACAGCAAAAATAAATAAATGCTGTTCATCTTTTTGAGCCTGGTTTCTAAATCAGTTCCCCTCAACACACACACAATTGAAAATAATTGCTCAAGAGTCCAAGAGTAGGAAAAAAGATTTTCTTCTGAGAATATGGGCTTCTGTTTACATAAACTGTTTTTAAAAATCAGCCATTTCTAAACAACTTAACTGAATGTCCTACCTTAAAGAAAAGACATGTTAGAGTAATGCTGAAGTTGAAAACTGAAAACTTTGGTTGGGAAACCACCTGAGAAAAATGACCAGAATGTATTTGTGCCGAAAAGAGTTAACACTATAGGCCTGAGACTGCTATATTTAGAAAGGCCTGAAAGCAAGGTTAACCCTTCTTTGGCTTCTGGGAACTGTGTGGTTTATGCTGTACAATGTGGTTTGTGCTGAAGTTACCAGCCCCATAAAAATCCTGGGTCTGCAAGTCTATAATTGGCTTCCCTGGGCAAAAACATTGCACAGACATTACTGGAATTTGACTCCTTCTGGGAGGGACAGATATAAGCCTGCATGATCTGTCTCCAGACTTGCTTGTGGCTTTTTCCATTATGATCAGGCTGTATGCCCATTCTACATTGCTACAAATAAACATTAGCTATGAGTACAACTATATGCTGAGTTTTGTGAGTCCTTCTAGTGAATCTCCAAATGTGAGGGTGGTCTTGGAACTTCGCAGGCAAAATATTGGTGATAGAAAGTATTTGAAGCTCTAATAATTGAATTTGTCCCTTTTGCTTTCAAGGGGAATTGAAAAAGAAAGCTATACAGATAAGTGATTGCTAAGTAGTGGGTTACTGTCCAAAATGATTATGTTTAGACATATTGTATATGTCAGAAAAATCACTGGAAATTGACTACATTACCATATTAAGTTGGAGTCCATGTTTTTTGAAAAAAGGCACAGGTCTTTTATAGATTGTAGGTCAAATACTTGGTTCTTTTTTTTTTTTTTTTTAAATTCTGCCAGCATTCTCTATGTGTTAATGTTCATCTTTATCAAGAATTTATCTGCAGTTGGGAAAAAAAATATGACCAGTTTCTCTTGGGCCATTTTTCTGTATTAGTTATGTCTGTCTCTTCTCAGGATACAAAGTTAAGATAGTTGGAGGTAAGTTTGTAAGTTTGGGGATGGAAAGATCAGATTTGCCATCTGATTGTCTCTTTTCTCTCAGTAAAATAGAAGACTAGATTTTATTTTGAGGAATGGGGTGATGGAGGAGTTGGAGGTTTGGGAGAGTGAGGAGTAGGTAAGTTGACCAGAATATGTAGTAGATAATGGGATGTCTTGATCCAATTGAGATTGTGATTAAGAATTTAGTGGACCCAATCTGCTTTCTTAGGAGAATTTCTTCATCCTATTTAGATGCAGATATGAAGAAAGTGGTTAATTGGGTTCATCTAGGATTGGGGTTCTTTTATTGGGGTGATGTGGTAGTTATTCAGGCCATGCACATACGTTCTGTTCTCTATTGGTACATGATAAGGTTGTGCTCTTTGTGCCCACCCTCCCCCTCTCCCCATGTCTACTTGAAATTAGATGTAAACATATTACTTGTTTTGGCCAGTAAAATATGAGCAGAATGACATGTCTCACTTCCAAGTGAAGTTCAAGAACCAGAACTCCCTTTGTCACGTCCCCTTTCTCCCTTCCCTGCTGTAGTGATCATGGGAGCACTTGTTGAGATACGAGTGCTTCTTGTTAGCCTGAGCACTAAAGGAAAATAGAAGTGGTTGAACAAGCAAGCTTCAAGGACTTAAAGTTGTGATCAGAGAATAGAATACGTGAATTAGTGATTTTGCAAGGTAAGTGGTTGAGGGAGTTTGGAGGGAGAAGGCAGTCAGAAATGAAGTGGTCAAGAAACTCAGAGGCCTTGTACATCCCTGTGACCCTGAAGGCCTTAATTTGTCGCAGCTCAGTTCTGTAGTGATGACCCTTGGACTTAAAGAAATGGCTCTTAAAATGATAAATTCAAAAGTTCCCTTATGTGGCACATGGTACAACTAAATCAAGATTCAGAATTTGTTATTGAATTGATTCTTCCACCATGATCAATAAAAACAAATAAATAAATAACCATGAAAATTACCATGTAGCTTGGCCATGGAGCAGGGTGATGTTAGTTAGGATTTAGGCTAAGCTACTTTTAACAGAGACTCCAAAATAATGTGGTTAAAAAAAATGCTTAACTCATATCTAAAATCTTTAGAATTAATGGAGTTTTTAAGATATATTGAAAATAGAGGTAAATAACACCATGAAGAAAGTCAAATTCACTGTGGGACATTACACAGCCTTGCTATTGAAAGCGTGGTCTGTGGACCTCCAGCAATGACTTCCCATTGGGAGCTTTTTAGGCAGAATCTCAGGTCCTGTGCTAGACTTGTTGAATCAAAATCCACATTTTAACAAATTCTCCAAGGCGACTCATGTGCACTGCCTTGATCTCTAAAAAAAAGCCAGTGTCTTTGGAAAGTAAAGCACTGTTAACTCTCCTTTTATGGGAAGAACAATTGTAGATTAAAAGATACTAAAGTGTTATAACCAGCACAAAGTAAACCTTGATTGAATCCTTATTAAAAACAAACAAAAAAAACCAGTATAGAAGACATTTATGGGTCAGCTGAAGAAATTAGAATATGATGGGATATGAGATAATATTAGGGAATTGTTAATTTTCTTAGATATGATAATGATATAATTATAAGGAGACTAACCTTAGTCTTAAGAGATACGTGCTCTCTGCAACTTTCAAATAGTTCGCCAGAAACATATATACATATATGTCTGTGCACACTGATATTTAGATAAAACAAATATGGCAAAATGTACTAGATGTGGAATCTAGATAGTATATTGGTATTCATTACACTGTTTTTTAACTTTTGTGGAAGTTTAAAATTTTTCATAATAAAAAAGGAGAAAAAATGCAGTACCTTAAAAAGATAGAAATTTATTTCTCTCTCAGTAGTCCAGCACTAGATCATACTGTGCAGGTAGGTTGGCTCTAATGTACTTGGCTCCTGCTATCTCCCTAAGTAGTGGGACAGGAGAAAGGGCAAAGGGGGCACATGACCCAGAAGCAGCACTTATTCCATTCAGCAAAACGTTAGTTTTTTCACTCATCTGGACAGCATATATCTAAGGAGTATTTGGTAAAAGTCAAATGTAATGTGCCATTTGTATATTGGTTTAATAAACATTTCTTTGGTTTCAACTGACTTCCTGCTCTTCTTCTATTGATTTAGTAAACCAGTTAAAATCAAAGTCATTTTAATTTTAATATGCATTAAGTAAAATACATAAAATTTTAATTTTGAAAATTAAAGTGTATTTACTCCCCCCCTCCCCAACTTTTTCAGTAAATAACAGATGCGGGTGAAAGAGCCATCTAAAGCTTTACCTGAGAAAGCCAAAAGAAGTAAAAGGCCTACTATACCTCATGATGAAGACTCTTCGGATGACATTGCTGGTAAATTGGGATATCTATTATCGTAAATATTATTTCAGAAAAGAACAATATATGTTTTTAATAAATCCTTTGCCTTTTATTTTTACCATTTTCTGCATGATCTTTAAAATCAGCTTGTCAAGTTCCAAAAAATCCTATTGGTGTTTTTATTGAGTTTTTGTTTAGTTTTTAAAGTAACTTAGAATTGGCTTTTTATTTGTTTTTCTTCTGTTTTTCATGGCTTGTTAAAACTAAGCCTTCGAGCCACAGTGGTTGTCAGATGACCCCGGGGAGCTTCTGGCTTCATGGCTTACTTATAGCTTCATGCCTTCAGTTTTGGCCTCGAGGATTTTCTTTACTTTCTTACCAGTTCAGCTTTCCATTTAAAAAGGTGTTTTAATATGTTATTTCCATTTTTATGTGTTTTTAACTTGGGTAGTGTTTCAGAATAGCTAGAAGGCTGTATTGAAAAAAGTCTGAATTGTATCTTTAAATATTTATTCTCTTGTGTTAAATATAGTTTTCTTCAGGAATTCTGATTATTATGTTAACTCTCCTTTGCCTATCTTCCGTAGTTACATTTTTCTCAAATCCTCTAAAACTCCTATTTCCTTTTCATTTTGCTTGTTGTTTTCATTTTTATCTTTTACTGTGTTTTCAGCATTTTCTGTGTCACCTTATGCTCTTTTTAGTTTTACCTTCATTTTTGTGGTTTTTTATTATTTTTTCTTTAACTTCTTTCCTGAACTTCACCAGTTGCTTGCTCTTGTTTCTCTGCCTCATGCTAGAGTGTTTGCTTCTGTTTTGTATTTTCAGTTCATGGCAGTGATTGCTGTGCCACGATTTTCCTTTTCTTCTTTTTTCTTACATTATCCTAGCATAGACTTTACAGCTTAGATTTTTTTTTTTTTGATTACTTATTCTTTGATGTAGGGTTGCTTCTCTTGGGCCAGTACGTTTTAGAATATTTATGTAAGAAGGAGGGCCAGTGCACTGTTGAGACCCAACTGGAATTTTGAGTTTGAGCTCATTTGGCCTTTACTTCTTTCTAACCAACAGGATTATGCAGCCCTGGGTTTTTTCAGTATCCAAAGTGTCTGTCCTCCCCAACTGCCATAGAGTCATGACTATTTCCTGCAAATAATGGCTTGCTTTTTTGTTTCTCACTTAGTAAATGAGAAGTTCCCTTTTGTTTCTTCTCAAAATTGGATATAGGGGCGCCCTGCCACTGTTGTTGCAGCACAGAGATTTAGGTTTTATTTTATGTCCGTGAATCATCCAGTGTTCTCTGAAATGACAGCTGCAGCATTCTCTGCTTCCTTTTCTGTGCAATCCTATTTGATTTCTGATGCTTTGAAGTGGGAGCCCTTCCACCTAATTTGTGACTTGGCTATTCAGCTGTCTCTTGTTTTCTCTGAAAATGAACTTTGTCTATTCATTTCTTGTTCTTTTTGCCCTTAGATATTTTCTAGGAGGAGAAAGGGGAAGTGTTGATTTTATTTCAACATTTGCAAACCTTGTAGACCTTGTAAAGTTTTTATTAATATTTAAAGTAGAAAACATGGAGATTTGGATTACTGTTTTTGATTTGTTCATGTGAAACAACTATAGACTATAATGGACCTATTTGTCAGATGAAATTTAGGCAATTATATGATTAAACAAATTATAGAAAACTAGGGAAATTTGCTTATTAACACAAAGAAATTTTTATATTTTCCCCCACAAATATTAGCTCTTATAAGGAAACTTCAAATGTTTAAATTTAGTAATACTTATAAAAATATACATAGTGGAGACATTTAAAAGCTAATAGGTTTAATTTTGGGGCCTGGAACCTATTTAAAAAATTTCAACTCAATAAATTTTGAAAATCTTACTGGTTTTGTTCAGTGATTCATGAATTGGGTAGCATTCCTTTTAGCAGATAGAAAGGAGCTCCAAGGAGCTGTAGAAACTTAAAATTTTTTATAGGCAAAAGGGAGCAGGACAAGGAAGTTACACTAGCAAAAGGTAGATTTGTTGTTGCAAGGTCATCTTCCTTTAGGGGATGGCAGGGGTCCCAGCACATTAACTCACTGGTGCTGACCAGGTAATTCCAGATTGACTGGTTTAAGATTCCGTTTTGGAGAGAGGCTAAAACTGTAATTAAGTTAGATAGTAAGTCTCATTTTGGCTACATGGAGCTTAGCATAGCTGACTCCATTTTGGTTCTGTTGTCTTTTTTTAACAATCCTTTTTATCTTGAATTCATTAACAATTTCAGCCTTATAAATCTGAATTATAGAATCAGGGAATGGCTAAGTTGTATCTTGGCCAGATCCTACCCCAAAGACGATATAGAAGATATGTGGAATGATTTTCCCCTTAGAATTTTAAAATATAAAAACTCAAACAAATCAATGACATGTGGTAAACCATTTCTAGGTCTTGAACTTGTCTGGTCATTTATCAGTCTTTCTCTGAACATTGCTTTTTTTAATAGAATGTGTCCTTGTTTTTCAAACATAGGACTTTATGTCTATTCTTATAACTTGCTCTTGGTGTAAAATTAGAAGTTTGCATCTTTTATCAGATTTACATATTACTTTTGTTAAAATTATATTTCATTATAAATAGCTTGTCAGGAATCACATTCCTAGTCTTCAGGATGAAATGGAAGTAACGCTCAGCCTCTCTCTAGTTAACTAGTAGGTGAAAAGAAATGCTTTGCATTTAGAAAGGAAAGTGGAGAAAGTTGAAATATACATACTCCTGTTTGCTCTTCAAGTTACTCAGTCTCCTTGTGTGATTTTGCAGGTAGTTGATTTGGGCAGGTTTGGTGTTTGGGATATTGCAGGTGAAGTAATTGAAGTGTTCATGTTTTGGGGAAAAATGAAAGTGTCTTCTTGGGAGAAGAATACAGTTGTTTGAAGAATTAAAAACATATTTGCTCATTTTGGTCATTTGTCACCACACAATGCACACAGTACGAATCTGTTATAAAGAGTAATTCATTAAGGACCAGGAAAAATCATTTGTTATTTGAGAATATTCATTAAGGAGAATTCTGAAAATTCTTTTTCCTATAAATGACGTCACTGCTTCTCACTCTCTTTTCTCCCAACAATGATGAAAATAGCATCATAGCAGAACTAGTCTATACAAAAGATTTTACCCGTGTATCTTAATGGAAGAAAATACATTCAAAATGCTTGACATATAGTAGCTACTCAATAAATAATCTCCTTTATTTATTTTTATTTTTCAACTAATTTTAGATTCACAGGACGGTACAAAGAAATATGCAAGGAGGTCCCATCATCCTTCACCTGTCCTCTCCTGATTTAACATGTTGTATTTCTGTAGAACAATATCAATACCAGGAACCTGACATTGGTACATTCCTTTGAGCTTATTCACATTTCACCAGCTCTACATGCACTCGTATGTGTGTGCATGTATAGTTCTCTGCAGTTTTATTACATGGGTAGCTTTCTATAACCACCAGAATCAGGATACTTGCCTGTAACATCACTACCCTAAGTGCTACCTATTTATAGCAGCACCCCCTTCTGTAGCCCCTGGGTAACATCACTACCCTAAGTGCTACCCTATTTATAGCAGCACCCCCTTCTGTAGCCCCTGGCAACCACTAATCTGTTCTCCCACTCTTTAATTCTGTTATTCACAAATGTTTTATAAGTAGAATCATGCAGTATATATCCTTGTGAGTTATTTTTTTAAATCTCTGTGCTTTTTAGTTATAGCATTTTAATGTTAGTGGCTTTTCGTTACTGATGTTAGAACTTTGGTTTAGCAAAGAAAATGTTCAAATTTTGTTTTGTCTTATTCAGTAGGTTTCACTTGCCAACATGTAAGTCATGCTATCAATGTGAATCATGTGAAAAAAGCAATAGCTGAGAATCTGTGGTCAGTTTGCTCAGAATGTTTAAAAGAAAGAAGATTCTGTCATGGGCAGTCAGTACTTCCTTCTGATATTTGGTTGTGCCTCAAGTGTGGTTTTCAGGTGAGAAAATGTTTTTTATGTGTGAGTTTGTCTTAAGTACTTTTCTTTTAAGTATTTAAATGCTTATTTTGAGTTGGACTATTAGTAATGCTTAGAACTTAAGATAAATTTATTCCATGTTTAGATAGAACTCTCCAAGGCTGAGCTTAGAAATACTTAAGGTAAAGGTATGTTTTGTTAAGAAAGTAATTGTGTGGTTTATAAAAACTTGAAAGGGAATCAAGCCCACTCACAGTAGTTCTCATATCTAGACCTGCCTTTTACCTAGTTGTGTTTTAGAAGTTTTTTGAGTTTGAGTATGATTTAAGTTTTAGTTAACTTGAAACAAATTTATACATAAATCATACAAATAACATTCTGTTCCTCTTTAGGGTTGTGGTAAAAACTCAGACAGCCAGCATTCATTGAAGCACTTCAAGAGTTGGAGAACAGAGCTTCATTGTATTATAATTAGTCTGAGCACATGGATTGTATGGTAAGTTAAATTTTGTTAGTACTTTTGTCCACTACAAAAATATCTTTTTCTTTGAGCTTTATAGGTAAAATATTTGAAGATGTTATAGCAGCTTATGCTTTGTCGTCTGACTTTAAATTGGAATAATTTAAGAAAATTAACATTCCCCATGAATATAAAATTTAAATAAGAAAAAAAACAGTTACTTCTCTACTTTTCTTTAACATTTTCCTTGTACAATCAAGAAAAATTCTTGCTTGTTGGTTTTTTGTAATGAACTTGCTAATACAGAATCCTAGAGTTCTAGAGGAGGAAGGTACTCCAGGCAGTCAAGTGGTTTGGTGATTCTCTACAGGGGAAAGGGAACTTCTCAGGTGATTCTGCCATGTCAGCTCAGCTGGGAATCAAGCCCAGTTCCCTCATTTTATGTGTAAGGACACTGAGTATCATTTACATTTTTGTGATTACAAAGCAGAAATCTAGGCACGGAAAAGACTTTTGATTCCCTGTCTTTTACCAGGATCGCACACTGCTTCAGGGGTATAAGTGGACACTGTATTGAAAACCTTTTCTTGTATTTTACAACAAAAACTTTCTAACTGGAATTGTGAACTCCTAGGGTTCCTTGAATGAATTTTCAGGAGTTTTCAAGTTTTCTTTAAGACAGAAACATTTTAACTTTGTATTTTCATTTCAGGGCTCTAAAATTAATATAAAGATGTTTTGGTGTATAGGAGAGATCATCATCTTATAATTTAATTCAGCCACAGGATCAGGTGCTTGCTGCATTTGTGTTTTTGTTGTCGTTGGCCCCACGTATTAGGGAGAATGAGGAAAGAACAGAGGATACTTAATATTAAATGATGCATTGGAACCAAGGAAGTGGGGGATGATGCCCAGTGTGGCAGCTCAATAAACACTTCTCCGCAGTCTGAATAGAAGCAGTGGTCTAAAAGTATAGGGCACATCAGAATCATAAGGAGGGCTTGGTAAAATAGACTGCTGGGCCCCAGGCCTAGAGATTCTCATTTAATAGTTTTGGTGTGGGGCCTAAGAATTTGCATTTCTAACAAGTTCTCAAGTATTGCCAATGCTGCTAGTCTGGGAACCACAGTTTGAGGACCATTAAAATAGAAAAAGTGGTGGGGGAATTGAGTAGCACCTGGTAGAATAGGCTCATCTCAACTGAACTTGTGTCAAAACTTCTGTTTTAGCTCTTAGGGCCATAATTATGGTCTGATAATTTCATGATTTAATTTCAGCAAAAAATCTTTACCTAACATAATGAATTAGTATTATTAGTTTTAGTTTAATCGATTTTATAATTTTGTTTTTATATGTATAACTTGGCATTCATTATAAGGACGATGAATTTATTGCATTTGTGAGTGAATGTGTTAGATTTATATTAAAAGAAAATAATTTAAGCTATATTTAAGCTATAATTTAAGCTATAATTTAAGCTACAGATATAAGCTATATCTGTAGAATTATTTCCCTTTCAAAGGAAGAAATTCAAATTTGTTTTATACATTTATAGAAATTTAAATATTGTGACTATTTTTCTCCATTCAATTCTTAAATGTTAAAAAGTTTAATAATTTCAGTAGAAAACTTCATTAATTTGAATTAAAGAGGCTAGCCTGAACTAGAGAAAAACCTGAAAAACCTAAAAAATAAAGAAATATAGATTTGATTATGGTTAACAAAGTGTTGCTGGATAGTGGATTTAATACTGCTTAGTAGATAATAATTATTAGCACAGTGGTTTCTTCTGACTTTACATCAGAATCACACAGGTAGAATTAACCTTTAGGTGCCAGGGGTCCCCTATTAATTCAGGGTTTCTGTATTTTTAAGTTCCATAGGTGATTCTTATGCCTAATCAAAGTTGTGAGGTACTGAGTATACATGAGTATACTTTTACTTAAGCATTAATAGCTTTTCAAGTGTCTCAATTTCTCATCTATAAAAAGAAAATATACTTCTGTAAAGCTATTTATTTTTAAAGCAATGATACTTCTTTGATTTTTGTGAGGAATTAAACCAGAAAATACATATCAAGCACTTAGAACAGTGCCTGGCATATAATAAATGTTCCAATAATTTTTTTTGTTATATCTAATGGAAACAAGTAATTTTAAGTTATTTTGAGCTGTCTTTTCCAAATCCACTGCCATTGTGTAGTTTTTATTTATGTTTTCTTTTTGTACTCTTAAAGTTATAACAATGTATTTTATAATAAGTAAACATTACATTGCAATGTTAGTAAAAATTTCTTGACATTTCAATATTTTACAAATGAGCAATTATATTTTTATTTTTGACAATAGTTATATCAGTAAATATTGATCACCTATTATAATGTAAGCCTGGTAACTGTAATTACATTGTTTAAATTACATCATCGTCTGTTGGAAAAGATGTTTTGGGAACGTTTTCTATGACTCATTTCCTTTATGGATTTATCTATGTATCTATTTCTGTGTGCAAATGATGGAGTGGACACTCGGTGAATATTTGACTGAATTTGAGTACTATTTAGAAAAAGAACCCATTTACAGCCATTGATCCCAGAACCCCTGATAGTTATAGGTAAGAAGATTGAATATGTTAAGGTAGTGTTGGTACAACACATTACATTTATAAACACTTTCATTGCTTTCTAACATATATTTTTATTTGATAATTGGATCCCATGAAGATAAAGAATAGGTAATGATAACATACAGAAGCCTTTATTAATACTGTATTTACTAATGAGTAAACATAGTGGAAGGTAATTTTCTGAAAAGGAAGGTGCTTTTCAGAAAGGAATTTTGAAAATCTCTTCCTTGAATCTCACTTCCCAAATAAGCTTCAAACTAAATAAAACACTTATCTTGTCCAGTCTTCTCCATCTCTATACATGGAACCTCTGTCACTTAAGTATGCAAGCCAGAAGCCTGGCAGTTATTTTCTTCTTTTTATCTTATTTTATTTTTTAACCTTTTAACTAAAATAGACAAATGATCTAATAAATTCCTTTGTACCCATCACCCAGCTTTAAACATTACCAACTCACAGCTAGTCTTGTTTCATCTAAACCAGGATTTCTTATTCTTATTATTATTTTCCTTTGGGCTGATAATTCTTTGTTGTGAGGGGACTGTCCTGTACATTGTAGGAGGTTTAGCAGCATCTCTTGCCCCTACCCATTGGATGCCAGTAGCAGCTTCACCAGTAGTGACAAAAATGTCTCAAAACATTGCCAAATGTTCCCTGGGGTGTAAAATTGCTTTTGTTTGAGAGTCGCTGACAGACCTTCATCCACTTTTCCCTTCACATGGCAGTTATTTTGACACTTCCCTCTCCCTTATTTTTTATATCTAATTCATTACCGTTTATACCTAAAAATATATAAAATAAATTTATTCAATTTTCTCTAGATCCACTGCTTCTACACTGATGTGTTTCTATGCCTGATTCCCTCCAATCTGATATGAGTGTTGTTTTTAAAATGTAAATTAGATCATATCATTCCCCTGCTTGAAAACCCCTCATGGCATTCCATTACTCTTAGGAAAACTACCAGACCTTTGAGTGAGAAAGCTCTTTATGAACTGTCCCCTGCTTATTTGTCTAGACTTACTTGGTGCCTCGTAGCTCCGTTATTCCCATAATTTAAAGACAAAAGTAGATAAATGTCAACTTTATTACTTGATGTGAAATATTATTGAAGATACTTTCATAATTTTTGCTTAAATTTTATATTTTTTCAGGTGTTATGAGTGTGATGAAAAATTATCAACACATTGTAATAAGAAGGTTTTGGCTCAGATAGTTGATTTTCTTCAGAAACACGTTTCTAAAACACAAACAAGTAAGTTAAGTAATTGCTAAAGAAATCTATATTAAAGTACAGTATTTTATATTTCATATAAAGAGTTCATAAATTCATAAAGAGTACTTTACATGTTCCTGTCACTTCTCAGTAGGAGTGCCATGCATTCTTAGGTAGCTATTATGTATTGTATTTATATAACCAGTAATGAGAAGCTGGTGAGGGTAGTGACTAGATAATGGGCTTTTTAGTCAATGCTGAGTTTGACTTTAGGCTCCACCTAAATTACTTACTGTCCATGTGGCTTTAGTTTCCTTACTTAAAAAAATAGGATAATAATTCTACCATATACAGTTGTTGTGAGCCTTAGAAATGTTTTCTAAAGATTTAGAAATTATGTACGTAAAAATATTTGCGTAATGCCAAACACATGGTTATGAAATTACATCTGTTATTTGTTATGTAATTGTAGTGCAGTTCTGACACTAACCACCTGTAATTAGGCTGACCTTGCAGATTAAGGGCTCAGTGCCCCTACAAGATTGCCCTTACTTCATACACTATCCTCAAGTTCAGGGGTTCTCAGGCCACCCACATTTCTGATCAACTGGCTATAAAATCAGGGGTTCTCACTATCCTGTTAAGTTCAATAATTTGCCACAGTGACTCAGAGAACTCAGGAAAATGCTATACTTACAATTACGGTTTTATTATAGGAAAAAAAAAAAGATACAAATCAAGATCAGCCAAAAGAAGAGACACATAGGGTGGCTTTGGGAAGGCCCCAAACATGCAGCTTCTGTATCTTCTTCCTGTGGTGTCAGGATACATCACCTTCCTGGCACATCAATGTGTAACAATACACACAGACTGCTACAGACTATTGTTAATAAGCAAAGAAGAAAGCTCGCTGGAGCTTTGGTGTCCAGAGTTTTTATTGAGGTTTCATTGCATAAGCATGACTGACTGAATCATTGGCCACATGATTTACCTCAGTCTCCAGACCCCAACCTTCTAATCACATGGTTGGTCCTTCTGGCATAGCAAGCTCCCATCCTGAGTCATTTTATTGGCATAACCTATCTAGGACCCACAATAAATAAAAAAGACACTTTGTTAACATTAACTATCAAGTGTGGTCCAAGGGGCCCATGATGAACAAAAAAAGGACACTCCAGTTACTCTAGAAATCCAAGGATTTAGAGGGTACTTCTCAGGAACCCAATACAAAGGGCAGCCAAATCCTTTATCATACAATAGTAATGTATTGTATATTATATACTTGGTTGATTATATACTTTGTTATCTAACATATAGGCAATATATAATACATGTGAATATAAATTAAGAGTAAGAGGGAAGCAGTTTCTTCATTAAAATATATTAAGTGCCTATCATATGCCAGGCTTTATACTTTATTCAGTAGTGGTAAAACAAAAATAGTTTTATCTTGCCCTCTTGGAGTTTAGAGTATAGTGGGGGGGAAAAAATAAGCAAATATATAATAACTTTTGATAAGTGCTACAAAGGAAAGGAACAGATTGCAGTGATAGATGATAAATCTAGTGGTCACAGTGATCAAGAAAGGCCAATGTGGCTGGAGCGTGGTTTGCTGGGAGAGACTCAAACGAGATGAAGTTAAGAGGTGGGTAGGAGGTCATGAAGGATACTGTAAAGAATTCCTTGGTAAAGATTTATTTTATTGTAAGTGTAATGGAAGCTGTTAAAGTTTTAAACGGGAGTAACAGTTATTTTATCTTTTTTAAAAACAAGATGACTCTAATTGCTATTGAAGAGTGGACTGTTGGGGGTTAAGAGTGGCAGTGGAGAGATCGTTAAGGAGGTTATTGTGGTAGGGAAGGTGAGGGACTAGTAAGTAGAGGCACTGGTGGGAAGTGGGTGGATTAAGATGTAATGAGTGAGGGAGAGTGGGAGGAATCAAGTACAAACCTGAGGATTTTGATTGAGTAACTAGGTGAATGGGAGTGAATGGACATGATAATTTTGAAATTCCTTTGGAGCAGAATTGAACTGCTTAGTAATTGGCATCAGAAACCAAAAAATTATATAAAAAATATAATGATCAGCTGTATTTTTTATAGCTCAATATACAATTGTTTTTGTTAGCTGTTGCTTTGAGACAGTTATGGTGAAGAAATTGGAGGAGGAACTGAAGGAGAAGGAGGTAAACTCAGGTTCCTGGACGTTAAAAGAAATGATTCATTTTATCACTCATTCATTTATTTATTTATCAAACATTTACTGAAATCTTACTCTGTCCCAGGCATACTAGTTACAGCTCCAACTGTGCTCAAATAAAGAATAAGGATAATATAACAGTGAAAGACATTTAAGACTTCAGATGTTGTTCTCAGTGCTGTCTCTGGAAAACTGCACATCAAATTTGTTTTGTTGGCCTAATAAAAAGATACGTAAGGATATGATATCAAGGGTGGCAGAAGTACAATTGTTGAAATTTTTTTCTCTTTATTTTTTTTTAATCTTAGAGGTTCCTTCAGGTTAAGAGCAAAGCCAGTCTAATTCCATTCAATTTTACACATTTCTCAAATATTTATTATAAAGAATGTAAGGTAGGAAGCATGGAATAGTGCGGAAAAAGAACATGGACTTTGAGTCAGGAGTCTGCCATTCAAATTTGACTCTTTGAATCAATCACTAGCTATGTTACCCAGGGCAGGTTACAATGTGTTTGTCTCAGCCTCATTTTCCTCAGCACTTTCTCTTCTTTCCCATGTTGCTTCAGGGAATAGAGATTGATAAGACAGTTCCTGCCCTAAAGAAGTTTAAGGTCTAAAAGAAGGTGTGAGATAAAAAGGTGATGCTAATGTAAGCAGAATAAAATTTGTATTTTGAGAGATGTTCAAACAAAGTTCTTTAGATATCCAAAGTGGGATGTAATGTTTAGTTTTAAAAAAATGCAAAAGGAATCTAAAATAAGCAGGCTTTCAAGCTGACCCTTAAAGGGTCAACTTTGGATAGATTGAGATGAGAGAAGAAACATTTCAGGTGGTGGGAAGAACCAATGTAGGCTTTAATTGTGTTTAGGGAACCAGGGGTGGCAGCTCCTGGAATAGTGGGAAACAGATTCTTGAAGGGGTTTGAGAGTGTAAAACTTTCAAAGCTAGAGAGAGACTGAGTTCTGAATTCAAAGTTTCCAGAAGTTCTCGGGCATAATGTGGCTATCTTTGTGATCCAAGCTACAGGATTTTTCAGGCAAGTTTGATTTAAAATAAGTTCCCTTGGCATTCTGGAAGATTTTGGGGGGGGCAGGGTGCATAGTAATCTACTGTATTCTTTCTTACATGAGGCTTTAGTATATTTTTATAAAATACTTTAAAAATCAAATGTGAAATTTGCTATTGAAATTGTAATGTTGGATATGATTATGCAGCTATTTTAAATGATAATTGTGAAGACTGTAGAAATGTAAAAATCTCTGTTTATGGTAATTTAAAAAGAATACAAAACTATGTATTATATTTAGGTGGGAGGACAAGAATGATTTAAAAATATTTTTATAAAAAGATCTTTTTCTATTTTGCTCTAAGTAAAAATAACTACTGAGAGGAAAGCCTGAACATATACTTTAAACATGTTCTTAAGTATGCAGTACCAGAGTTAATTTCATGTCTAATACATCCAATTCAGCTTCTCTACACAGAGAATATAGGGTATTGTCTCATCCATCTCTTAAAAACAACTAGCTCAGTGATCTGAATTTTTGCTTTAGTAGCCCTTTAGACTCTTAAAAAATTATTGAGGACTTAAACAGCCTTATGTTATATATATCAATATTTAGGTTATGTATGATATTAGGTTATGTATATCAATACTTATCATATTAGAAATTAAAACTAAAAAATTAAAATATTCACTGAAAAATAGCATAATTTCATGACATGTTAACAAATAACATTTTAAGAAGAGATAACTATTTTTCAAAATAATAATAGGTACCTTTGTTTTGTTTTTACAAATCTCTTTAATATCTGGCTTAATAGAAGACAGCTGGATTCTCATATGTACTGCATTCAGTTTTGTGACATCACATGGCATGTAGCCTCTAGAAAACTGTGTTCTATGATTGAGAATGAATGAAAGTAAAAAAAATAAGATCTTAGACTTACTAGAAACTTCTTTTGACCTTAAGAATCTGAAAGGAGGATAATGTCTTCAGAACTGCTGAACTAGCACGTTTCTGTTTTTATATTTTCTGTCCAGCCTTCTTGCCCTAAGACTCAGCTCAAATCCTGCTTCAAGGACACTTTCCCAATCTTTTGTTTTATTCTATGTAGCATACCTTAGAATCTGATAACATATGGTTTTGTGATGTTTAGCTTTCATGTGTTTATGTGTCTTATTTATAAAACTATATGTACCTTTGCTGATAGTCTTTTTGATTCCTATATGGCTAAGCAGTAAATACTTGCTGAATTGATCTGAACTAGTATGTAATGCGTTTTTTTCTGAGGAAGTAGATAAGCTTTGCATTTTCACCAAAAAAACAAAACAAAACAAAACTGAATATCAAATTTATTTTATGTATTCATTCGGTCTTTTAATATTTGCATTTCTACCTTGTGCCAGATACTGTGCTATGTTGAAAATATAGTAGTGAATGAGATGTTGTTCTCAGTTCCTGCCATTATTGATCTATTGGTTGAGTGAGGAATATTGACAAATCACACTTACTTATAATTGCTTGTTGAAATAGTGCTGTGATGGAACAAGTACAGGAGACTGCGAGAACACTTTGGAGTAGTATCTAACATAGAATGGAGGAGCCAGGAAGATTTTATTTAGAGGAATGCCTTCTAAGCCAAGAGCTGAAAGATACCTAGAAATAAGCTAGGCAAAGAGAGAAAAGGCATGTGTTCCATGCAGAGGAAATAGCTTATTGATGAGTGAGGGAGCTTGATACTTTCAGGGAATTTTATAGTGCTGCAAGGTTGAGTTTTATGGTGTTGGGGAATGGTGACAGATGAGACTAGAGGTAAGGAGGAACAGATATTAAAGTG